AATAGAATGGAACCAAATAGTACATACAATGCAAAAAATTCCAAAGAGCAAGCAACCAAAATAGTACAAAACAATATTAGAGATAATACTAATAGCTATTACAAAAAAGGAAAGAACTAAACTCATCCAACCTAACCTTTTCTACTCTATTGAACTTCATGAGAAAGAAAAAGATTAGGTAATATACAGAACCTAGAATATACAAATATTTAGGAAAATTATTGCTCATAAACCAGACAAACAAATAACTACAACATACTGGAAAATACTAAAAGGAAATAAAGGAAATCAACCTCAAAAACTTCAACAATATAAAGGATGCAAGCTATCTATAGCAACCTATTATAGAAAATATGCAATTGAAGCTAAACTAAAGCAATGCAAACTAGTAACAGTAAGCAGCAATAAGAAAATATATAGCTACCTTAAATCTATTACCTAAACAAGCAACACCTTAGAACAACAAAGCTTAGAAAATATCAACAATACAGACAGCAGACTAATAGATAAAAAAAGCTACTTTTCTTACAATATAATCCACAGTACATTTATCAATACAGAAGTACAACAAGATCTAACAACAATAGCAGATGCTATCAAAAATTACAAAAACCTAAGCTTCACAATCATAACAAAAAAGCTACAAGAGGAGACAAGAATCTAATACTACTTTACTTGAAGCATAATACCTACTTTGTACAGATACACAAGAAGAGTAAACTTCTAGCAGTAAAAAATAATAGCAAACATAGCCGCAATTACAACAATTATAGTAGTTGTACCTATAAGCAGTATAATAATAATTCAAACTACAAACAAATATATAGGGAGTGCTAGTAGAAACCAAGCAAATTGTTTTTAATGAGTTTTTTTAAAATTTTAAATTAAAATATCTCAACAACTATTAAACCAAACTTAATAAATTTTTTTTTATTTTAATTCTATAACTATATAGAATTAAAATAAAAAAAATTTTATTAAGTTTAATTCAATAATTGTTAAGATATTTTACTTTAAAGTTTAAAAAAAATTTACTTAGAAACAATTTGCTTAGTTTCTACTAGCACTTCTCTATATATTAACAAATCTACAAGCTATCATTCAAAATATACAAACAGAAAACCAATTGGCAAAAAAGAAGTACTGGCAATTCTGGAATAATATTATTACTAACATAGAAAAGAAAAATATCAAAATTAACCTACTAATAGCTGATAAGACAAACTCAGAATATATAAAAGGAACAAAAAGCTTTGATGACCTTCAAAACTTTACAAACACAGCTATTGACCTACAAAAAATAAGCTACAATATGACTACACTATTGTAGTATAATACTACAGTACACTTGACTACAAGACACTTTATACATAATATCCAAAATACAAAACAAGTAGCTTACTAGCACTCAACTAACAGAGCTAGTCACTAGGATACAAGCTCTCATTAGAACTTCTTATACCAATACTTCAACATCAATGCTATACTAATAACAAAGAAAACTAACCCCAAACACTCTGCATTAAAAGCATTCAAAATCAAACTCTTATTTGATGAATTACTAGTAGCAACTAATCTTTACAAACAGAATAAAGAAAAAAACTTAAACCTAATATGCTATAAATATAAGAATAAAGAAGAGGACAACTTCTACTGGCTAGCATGTTAAGAAAACAAACCTTTAGCCAAAGAAATAATACATAAAGTAGTAAAAAAAACACAGAAAAAAATCATTAAGGAAGAGAAGCAGATGTCCTACCAACAAATAAAAGACTTTATCACCTGACACTTTAAAACAAGTAAAGATAAAATCAATAGCTCACTATACAACTTTCAAGGCCTTATCAGTTCAGACCTACTTGAAGAACTCAAAGATATTACAAGAAAAGACAAGGACTTAGAAACTCTACTACACAAAATAATTAAAGGTCTATATAATGAAATCTGGAAACAGAAGAATATCTAAATTTACTAAAATACTCAAAGACTAAAAAACAAGATAGCTACTAATCCTAACATTACACCTAAGACTAGTAACTTATATGAAAACAATAGAAATACTAAAGAAAAAGACTAAGAAGTAAACCAAAAACTGTACAAATAAGTGAAGAAATATATACAGGATGATGCAAATATATTGTTAATAATAAATACTATAGTCTAGACAAGAACTTGGTCTGCTTAAATATAAGTTCAGATTATAGGTAAAGTAGCCTGATCCTTAAGTAAATTAGATAGCTGTAGTTAGAAACATATAACAATGTATTAACTGCAAATTGTTGTAATAACACATTATTATCAATAAAATTACTAAGAATAGTTTTTGCTTAAAAAAAATAAATAAATAAATAAATAACAACATTAACTTGACTTGTTAGCTAACTAGATTTAGGAAAATCTATCTTATAAAATATTCAAATATATAAAAGATTAATCTAGTAAAGAGCTATAGTAGAAATTGAGTTTGTACAAATATCTATAAAGGTATATACTAGTTTAAATGAGATATAGTACAGTATAGTTAGAATATTTTGCAAGCTTCTCTCAAAGAGAACAATAGAATACTTTGAGATAAGACCCTTTCTAATAGAAAAAACTAAAATGCAAAGCTAGTCTAAGTAGCTCTTAATAAGGTAGTACAAGATTATGCAAATTTAAAAATAAAATTAGATTGATATTAGAGATAATAAAGATATCAGAGAGTTTAAAATAGAGTAGATACTAGATATAGCAATTAGTAGGTAAGCTTCAAACAGAATCTTTAAATAAACAATAATTAAAGTTGTATATATAATTAATTGTACTCTTACTAACTAATGTAAACCTACAAATAATCTAATAAAAATTAATTAGCATTAAGACCTTATTATAACAATAAAAAAAAAAATTTAAAATTAATTTTAGATTAAATATATATAAAATTTGATCTAAATTCAAAGTTTAATTTTAAATCAAATTTTAAAATTAACTATTCAATTTAAAATTAAATACTAATTTTAAGCTAATTAATAGTTTTTAAATTGATTATAAGTTAATTATAGATTAAATTTTTTAACCAATTCAACCTGAATTCGACCAAAATTTTGAAATTCAACCTTCAATTAGAGATCAAATTTCACTTTTTCAACTAGTATATAGAAGATTATATTATTTTACTACTCAAAATTTTTACTATTCAGACTTTTTGTTATAAATCTTATTATGATTTATTCATATAATATTATATTATACTTTCTATATTTAGATCAATTAGATATAACTTAATTTATAGAATTACAACTCCAAAAACAAATAAAATTACTATAAGTTAGATACAAGATCTAAGTATATTCAAATTTTAATTTAAATTTAGATCTATTATATAACAATCTGACAATCTAAACAACTTCACCAAGATTACCAAATCTAAAAAACAAGTAGTTTTGTTATAATATAACTAATTATTACTTAGTATTATATTAATTATATATCAGATATAAACTTATTTTTTATACAATTAACTATTATTTAATGCTATTTAGATTATGTATAGCTATATACGAAGTTAGCAATAAAGGTTATTCATTAAAAAAATTATTAATAGAGCCAATAAAGTCAATAGAGAAAATCTATTCACTATTAAAAACCAATTTAAATACTAAAACTGATATTTTAAGAGATAATATAAATAGTACACAATTATGCTTGACTAAAGTTGACCTTATTACTAATTCAACTAATATATATTCTTATATTATCCTAAAACGGTTCCGTCCACTTCACTGACACACTTTATCGACACAACACTTTACCTACAATCAATTCACCGACATATTTGTTTCACAGACAACCAATTCCTAGACAAGCGCATTTTATAGACATCTTATTTCACCAACAGTTCATTTCACCGACATTATTACCATTATAAATAGGGTTAGAGGAATTTATAAGAAATAAACTTGTCGGTGAAATGAAATAGGTTGGAGCTTGTAGCAAACAAGTCTGTAGGTAAAGTGTTGTTGAAATAAAACGAGTGTCGGTGAAGTTATACAGATCCCAACCGTGGGATTGGCTTTATTTTATCACATGTATTTGCTGTATAACGATTAAATTGTCGATTATATTATCGATCGATCGTTATTTTATTTTAAAACAAGTAAATGCGCTTGAATACATGGTGAAGCTTAAAAAAAATAAATAAATAAAGAGTATTACAAATTTCATGATTTATTGTAATAAAATATTATTTTAAATAACTATACATGCTAGATTAAAATACCAGGTATACATATATTTCATACATACTAATGATAAATTCAATAAATTCACTATGTATAAAAAAAAAATAAATACTAACTCTAAAAGCTAAAAAATAATTTTCCAAATATGATTTTCACGATAAACTTTACAACATTGTCCGTTGACATTAATTTGGTATAATAGTTTATATTTGGAATAAATCATTGAAATGAATTAGGATCACTAACACGTATTTTAATGATTTAATTATATGAAAACTCCATTTTTTTAAATTGCATATGACATAAATAGTTAGAAATTTTAAATAGCTTATAAAATAATGAGGGTTAAAAAAGGGATCATAAGAAAAAATTGGGCTTAATTAGATATACGAAAAAGAAATACGGATGTCATTAAATAGTTGGGTCATTACAATGTACGAAAATAACGCGACTCGAACAATGGTTAAAAAAAAAAATTATACAAAAATTATTCGAAATGTACATTAAAGAAAAAAAAAAAAAAATGATAAAATGAGGAATAAAATAAAATAAAATATATGAATGAACGGAGACTTTTTAAGACTTCGAAAAAACGAGTATAAGGGTTTAGAAATCGAATATATGGGAAAAAAGCAAAAAAAACTTATAGATGCGTCAAAACGTGCTTAGAATTCATATTGTAGGAGTTCTCACTTTTTACTATTAACGCATTTAAGCGTTTTTTTATAGTATCGAATAAAAAATAAATGACAATTTGAAAGAATTTATCAAATGCCTTTCTTAATTTTGATTAGATTGCTCCTTAGGACGTTCAATATCCAAAAGGCTGGCATCTTTCTCAATAATCAAACATTTTAGCCATTTTATTTCCTTTTCTAATTCACGCACTTTGTTTTCGAGCATCTCAGCTTTTGCACTCATGTCTTTAGAAGTTTTTTCGAGAGCTTGTTCACGCATCTTTTTTTTTATGCGAAATCTTGCAGAGGCAGCAGTGTTTCGCCGCCTTTTATTTTCTTCAGCTATAAGTCGATATGCGTAACCATGATCTAACATGTCAGAATACGGATGATAATAATTATGTCCATTCATAATCATTGGGGGAGTTACCATTCCACTTTGTTGCGCAGCCGTAAGACAAACAGCTGATTGTTCAGAAAGTATTGGTGAACTTTGACAAGTTAAAGGGTCGGCAATTGTATCAGAAAACTGAGTTGGAAATAACGCATCATTTCCTATTACGCCATGTGGCATTATTTGAGGAGGAGGAGACGGATACGCAGAAGTAAACTTAGGTGAACTTGTAGGCGGAGGAGGAAATGAAAATTGATCGAAAAAGGGAGCAACGCCGTCGGTAGTTGGTATTGAAAGGAATGATTGTTGTTGAGGCATATTTTGTTGAAACATTTGTTGGATTGAAGCAGGATTACTATCGAGTATTTGTTGACCGATAGTATTGTCTGGCGTTTCTATGTTAGTAGGGAATTCCAATGGAAAATTAATGTTTGACAAAATTTCCAATTCATTTGACCTAGTCATTTCACGTGATTGACTATTAGGGTGTGTTAAGTTTGGTTGTGGAGAAGAGGACGGGTTGTAGTTTATTAAAAACATTATATCTTTCCGCCTTTTAGGAAAGGAACTTATTACGAACAATAATAAACTTCTTCAATTCACAACAAAGTTATTAAGGATCTTGGATAGATCTGCTTTTATCTCTGCATTATCCGTTATTAGATTGGCAAAGTGATGATTGGTCAAGACCAACTCAATTTGGGTCAAGTCGAGTAAAGAGTTTTTTTTTTTCTTGATCAACATAAGAAACATCAAGAAAGTCAAGTAAAAGGCTTTTTTTTATTTTAAAAT